AATAAATTGTTACGTCATAATAATTTAATGATGAGTATACGTTTCACGTGTTATTGATATCAGTCGGAAAAAAAAAAACTTCTCCGTGACATTTGAACTCTTTCTGTGACCTGGGAAGACTACAATAGTGTTTTAATAATCCGACACATTCGCGCACACTCACACACACACAATTTTAACGGTTTTTACAAAGTTTAATTTTATATTAAAATATCTCATAAAAGCAAAGTAAATTAATGTTATCACTAATTAAAAAAAAAAAAAACAAAATGTCGATCAAAGAGATCAAAAGCAAAATAAATATTATAATAATTAATTTTTCTTCAATTAAAAAGAATGATTTATTGTTTTTTTCTCAATCGTTCGATTTTAAATTAAATTTTAATTATTATTATTATTATTTTTAAATGTAATATTATTTTAAAGTCACATTTCCCCCCCCCCCGTATTCGTGTATGCTACTAAAATAGGACAAAAAAAAAAATTAAGAATGAATATTAAAAAGTTTTACGGTTGTTTTTTTTTTGTTTTTTTTTTCTAAAGTTTCCAGACACTCGTTGTAAATTCACGATTTTTAATAAAAGTCTGGAAAAGGCGTTTTTCATTATTATTATTATTATTATTATTATAACCTAAAAAAAAATATTTAAAATATTTAAAATTTAAAATTTAAAAAAATGAAAGGAAATCTTTGAACGAATAATAATAATTTTATAATAAAGAAAACCTTTAAAAAAATAATAATTATATTTATTTCACGAATAAAAATTTTTTTTATGATAATATCAATTTATATATATTATTATTATTATTATTATGATAAGAATTATGATAAGGATTAATCGATTGAGTTTTGTAGAAAAGAAAAAAAAATACTCGGGGGTATCAAATTCGTTTGTTTTTATAATTATTTCGACGGTTAATAAATGTCACCACGAATGTAAAATCGATTTTTTTTTTCACCAGAGTAATTATTATTATTATTATTATTATTATTATTATTATTATTTTATTATTATTTAATTTTTCATTTAATGAAAGAAATCTTAGGGTGCGATAAACAAAGTAAAAAGATTATTGCATGAGTTTTCCTTAATGAAAATTTCATTTGTTATTATTAGTCACTGTCAAAAGGAAAAAAAAAAAAAAAAAGGTTAAGACAAAGAGAGAAATAATAATTATTTGTCGTAATGTTAACTCTAACGACAACCCTCGCAAACGATAATAATAATAATGTTGTTTAGGGAAATGTCTATGAGTCGAACGTCAAGAAGATTTTCCCACGAAATTTTAAGGTCAAGTGATGAGGGCAAAGATTCGTGATGATTTTTTTTGCCATTTTTCGCTTTCACACACATGAAATTATTTTTATTAACCTTGATTAAATGTTTTTTTGATTAAATAGAGAGAGAGAGAGAGAGAGAGAGAGAGATGAAATCGAAGGTGATGAATTTTTTTTTTGGCGGGAAAATTAAAAAAATTTTTTAAATGTTTGTAAAAGTGACGAAAATGTTAACAACAAACGTATAAAACTTTGTCGCGAAATAATTATTGTATCATATTAAATTACGAAATTATAAATAAAGGTCAAAGGTGAAAATTGTGACGATTTCACGTAAGATTTGTTTAAAAAAAAAAAAAAATTATGCA